TTTGTTAGGTGAAAGTTAGTGCTCTTGCTAATGCATTTATTGTTATTAAATACTTCCTTCTCAATTAAGTGGTATTTCAACATTTTTTCCATAATAGATTCTCTAGGACAATGGTCTTACATTATAGTTGAGGTACTTTATATTTTAATATCTCAACTGAGGATACATCACACTTTAAAATTATTTATCATCTATGGTTTGGTGGAATAGCTTGTTAGAATTTTCAAATATATATATAGACTTTCAACATTTATATTTAAATTGTTAAATTTGTCCTTTATGTATATATATATTATAAAGGTACGTGTAGGCTACTAAATTTTCCATTCCACTTTAATCACTTAGCCATACTTTTGACCACTTGAAAGAGTCTTTGTAGTGTATATGGTTTTCACCTTTTATCTTATAATGATTTACTATAAGATAACCACATGGCAAAACCTAAACCCTCTATGTGCTAGGTGTCATATGCCATATGCCACATGCCACATCTCCAAGGACAATAGAGTGGAACTCGAGTTTCAGAGCCTTAAGCCAATAAATGAAGATTACAAAGCCAAATTGCCAAACTTATAACTAAGGAGCAAAGGAATTAGAGCATAGAGTGACTCCTAAGCGTTCAACCCAAGGAGTGAAATGACGGGAATATAAAACAACTTAGAATAGTCCTAGAGCTTCCATTATCCCAATTGTTTCAAATGTGATTTCGGGTATTAAAAGATATTTATCAACCTCTCCTTATGAACACTCTTTCCTTACTACCATGACGGCAAAAGATTGGTATTATTTATTCCCTTCAAATAGCCCCTTTTGTCTAGTGTTAGTTTATTGGGCTTAGCATCTATACTTATCCAGATGAACATAAGGTAGGAACTCCTATGTATTTTTAGTTGAGCATTCTCGGGCTAGCTTTTAGTTCTCTTTTGCTTTATCTTCCACTAGCTTAGCAAGAACCCTTATGTATTGAGACTAGTCCCTCAATATCGCCAGATGATAGCATACCATGTTTGCCAAACACCCTCACTATCATGCCTTTTGTGTTAATCTCGTTTCAGTCCTAAATACTATTTATAGAAAGTGTTTAGTTTTGTTCATCTGGCATATCTACGGGATGTTAAGCTTGTCTTGAACACAATGGTGTTCGTCTCATGTCCAAATTACAATCTAGGAACATGCCATATTTAGTAAGTTTTGAACTTATCCTAGAGACTAACTCTTGGTACTAAGGGAGGCTTGGGGTGAAAGCCCAAAGTGTGTGTTCCTCAGAAGGGGAAGGGGGGGGGGGTGGGTGTAGGAGGGGCCTCTAAATGTATAGTAAGGATAATGGTTAGAATGTATATCCGACCATTTGAGACATTAGTTTAGCTCCCGTTGGACTATGTCACTCCTTGTTCTATGTCCGACTTGGGTTTAAACCCAAGCTCCATACTTCTCTAGTTGGTGAGGTACCCTCCTCTTCGCATTAGGCCACCGGTATACCAAAATTATGCCAAACACCGTCTGACACCATTTTGCATATAAATGTTGGATACAAGGAGCTGGTGTTTGTGGGATTGTACTAAACCCTTGTTTCATAGTGCAACAAGCTTGAAGTTTGGCTCCAAATTCATGTGCATTACACCAATGCTAGGACCAGTATATAAATTAGAGCCAAATGAAGTCTAGTGCTATTTCTACATACTAATGGCATAATGCTAGGATATAGGTATTCCACTAACTAGGATGGTGTGAAACTTGGTTTAGAGCCAAGCCAAATGCAAAATAAAAATCAGCATACAAACAAGAGCTAAATTATACCTCAAATTCATCAACCATGCCCAACCTACCCACTATACCTACTATGTATTTAGAACCCCATAACATGTGTTCCCCCCCTTAAGAAACACATGCTTTGGGTTTTCACCCTTAGTCACCCTTAGTACCAAGAGTTAGTCTTTGGGATTAACTTGAAATTTACTAAATATGGAATGGTGCTAAATTGCAAATTTGGATATGGGACTAATACCATTGTGTTCAAAACAATCTCTACATTCCGTAAATATGCTTAAATAACAAATTTAGACACTTTCCATAAATAGTAATTAAAACTGAATAGAACTAATATAAGGTGCATAATAGCAAGGGTGTTTGGCAAACACAATAACATATCATCTAGTGATATTGAGGAACTAGTCTCAATACGCAAGGGTTCTTGTCAAGCCAATACAATATAGATAAAAAATGAACTAAGAGCTAGGCTAAGTATGCTTAGCAAAAACATATAAGAGTTCCTACTTTATATTCATTTAGCTAAATACAGATGTTAAGCTCAATTTACTAACACTTCAACAAGAGGGGTTGAAAAGTGAACTAGCAATATTGACCTCATGCAATCGTGGCAATAAAGAAAGAATATCTAAAAGGACTAACTGATAGGTTATTTTCGATACCCGCAATCACATTCGTCCCCTTATAGAAGATTGACATCCTTGTCGATGCAAACTCTAATTTAGACCACCACTAAGAAAATAACTCTAGAAAAAATTCATAGTAATCACACTATATAAAAAATGCATCAATTTGAATGAGCTTCTTTGTTTAACGTAAATGTGCTACTAACTCAAACACCTTCCAACTGTTACCAACAAGGAAATAACCAATAAAGTTAGCCACTCTTGTTGCTTTGGGTGCCATCCAGTTTACAAAAGAGTGATATGTCTCTGCCCGTAAGTGACATAGGGAGCTAGAATTAGCTTTTGAACACTTTACCAAATTACTTCATTTATCCATCTATATTCACTCTAGCTTTGGACTCTTTAATATTCATATCATCATCCATCATATTGATATAGTATTCTTCAATCACACCTTCTTTGGCCAAATTCATTTTACTAGAGTCCTCCCCTTATTATCGTACAGGGACTTACTAAACCCTTAGGGTTTAAGATCACTTTGGGCTTTCATCCTCAGACTTGAACTTGGACTCAGATTCAATTGTAGTTTGTGTCTGGGTCTTGGTCTTGGTTTTGTCTTCATCTTGGACTTTGTTTTAGACTCCTTCTTGGACTCATCTCAAACTCCTTTTTAAACTCCTTTTTAGGTTTTGTCTTGACATTTTCATATCACAATGCTTACCATGTGTTGATATTTCTTGTGTCCCTCTTTAAAAGCTTATTTATTGATCACTTTATGCTCATTCCTTAAATATATAGTCTCTCTCCCTTTAAATTAACTAAAAAAGAGGCAATTACTTGATAAAAGAGGCTTTAGTGGCTATTTTATCCCCATTTATCCCCAAAATTCCAAGGATCCATGGTGATAATATATCTAAATTTTATCCCATAATCACATGCATCACACTCACCCCCCTAAAGATGTTAATATCCTCACCAAAAGGAATCAACATTTCTATTTCTGCACTAAATTTACCACTCCTTTTATTGTATAGACTATTTATTTATGTATTAGAGTTTGACGATTGATACTTTTATTTGTGGATGCTTTATAAGAGGAAGAAGATATCCAATACGTACAATTTCAGATTTAGGAGTAGGAATTTACCTCTATATATATATAAGAAAGGAATTAAAAAAAAAAACACAATCCCAACACTAGAACAAAGCACTGCTAAAAATCTTTCAAGGACAAATTATAGTCTTTCCTCCACCAATGTGAGTGCTCAAGATATGAGAATAGGTATTAATTGGGGTTTAAACCCCTACTTATATATAAGAATGGATGGACTAAATTTAATCCCAAATGTACTTAACAAGTGTTGCTGTAATAATAAAAGAAGATTATTTTAGAGGACTACTCAATAAATGACTTTCAATATAACACATTGATGAAACAAGCATATGGTCATGTGTTAACCTCATTACATAAAATGTAAGATTTCTATTACTTAATGAACTATTATACTCTTTCTAATTGTATGAAACTTTATTCACTTAGAAGAATTATTTCCTTTGAAAAGGAGAGACTCCCTATAATTTTCTCTCTACATTTACATAATAAATCTAGATGTGATGAAAAATGAGATAATGATTCCTAAAATATAGCACAACCATCATAACTATTCACTAAATAGTGAGGGTGGACTTTCCCATGAACTTGTGACAAAATATTAGAGTTAGATTCCAAGTGCATAACAATGAGAAAAAGAAATATATACACATGAAATCCTCTTGATAAGAGCAATTAAAACTTGAAAGAGTTCATTTTAAACTCTCTTTGAACAACCATACATGGTGTTTTGCTATAATGACTATTTAGATGGGAGGATTTTTGGCATTGTTACCATGATTGAGGTTAATGGCAAATAAAGATGATTTGATGTTACACAAGTAGAGTATTCTCCAATACTTTTCTTTAATCCCTATGGCAAGGATAAATTTTTTTTGAAAATGAGCTAACACACTTTGTCTTGTATGGAAGATAAAGTAACACATTTCGGCCTTGAGTTAAAAGGTGTTCACAATTCATTTGGAGCTATGAGTTTGAATTATGTTGCAATTGAACACTATTTTGGCACCATAGTCATATTAAAAGTGGAGTGCTCTATGGTGAATTTCATGCACCATAGATTGTAACAAGTGGCTTTAAGTCTTGTGATGGAATCAATTGGGAGATAAGAGGCCTAAAAAAGTAGCATTGGGCTTTTGTGATTATAATAGTCGTGCATTTTTTGTGTTATTTTAGTCTTTATAAAACTTTTAGGAATATACATAAATATTTCATCTCCAAATGATTTATTCCTCCCCTTTTCTTTCTTTGTATTGAGAATTCTTTTTAAAAATAATGCTATGTAGTAGGCTAGAAATCTTCTAAAAAAGTGTTGAAATCTTAAGTATGGAGGACTTTTATTGCTGAATTTGCCGCTCTCAAATCCCATTAATTAAAAGTTGGCCATTGGATCTCTTTCGTTCAACTGCCACTGTCGTTTTGAGTATAATGCTCTCTTTTTGCAAAGAAATGTTAACTGGCAGTTTTCTCTAGGGTATGAAAGGTTTAGGGTTCTTGGTGGCACGCTCTGTATGGGCAGCACAGCGTTCGCCGCTCTTCCCTCCTCCATTGGCGGCTGCGCCCTTCATCTCGATCTCGTCTCTCCATTGCCATCGCAATACAGGAAGGTCGGCAGCGCCGCTCCAGGTCTGTCTCTAGAAACCCGGAGGACGTGGAGGAGGAGGCGCAGGGGCAGAGGGAATGCGATCAGCTTCCTCATCCCTGCGGCAGCATCCTCGTCTCCGATCCCAGCAGCGCCTGGATTATCGTCCCCGCCGAAGGAGAATTTCAGCTTGGATGCCGCAGCATTGCTCCAGTTTTTGCCCTTGAGCAAGACCCTCCCCAAGATTCTTCCCCTCCTCCGGCCGCAAATCCCACGGATTCTCAGCGCCTGGGCCTGCGCCGCGGTGTCGGTGTCGGCGCTCTACGCTTTCGTTCCCCAGGTCGGCCAGCTCTCGAGCCTTTTGGCCGCGGGGGATTTGGTCAGTGTTCGCCGAAAGGCCGCCATGGCGATCTTCCTTATCAGCGCAAAGTCACTGGCACAGTACTGGCAGCAGGCTTTGCTTTGGGAGGTTGCTCTTGGGGTGACTTGCGACGTCAGGTGCCATGTCTTTGAGACGGTGCTGAGAAAAGATATGAGCTACTTTGAAGGGCAGAGTGGAGCTGCCAAAGGTGACATTGCTTACCGGATCACGGCCGAGGCGGATGCTACTGGAGAGACTATCTATGCGTTCTTAAAGGTAGCACTGATTTTTATTTTTTTTTCTTGTCGTTAGCTCATCTTGGTTTTGTCTTCTAGATGGTTGTCCCGTGTTTCTTACAGCTTGCAGCTATGGCTGGTCGAATGCTTTCACTAAGTCCCGTGCTTTCCTTCGCAACAGTCTCTGTAAGTTTAGAGAGTTTTACCGAGGATCGTCTGTGACGCTTGTTTATGGAGCATTTCTTTTCAGGTAGTTCCGTGTATGTCTGTGGTTATTGCTATTCTAGGGGAACAGCTTCGGGCCTTGTCAAAAAGAGGTCAAGACAGCATCGCGAGATTGTCAGCCTATGTTAATGAGGTTTGTAACTGCGAGCTTCTGCTGTCTGGGACTGAGGATGCTCGGTTTTTTTCAGGTTTTGCCTTCGATGCTAATCGTCAAAGCTTGCGCGGCGGAATCTTACGAAGACGAACGGTTTAAGAGGCTTGCTGTTATTGATCGGCAGGCTCATCTCATGAAGAAGAAGATGAAGGCTTTTATTCCAGAGATTATCACTGGGGCTTACGCAGCAACTGGAGTTGTTCTATTCGCTCTGGGAGCATGGGTTATCTCTAAAGGCAACTTCGACGGGACTGGCATGGTGTCCTTCATCACATCTCTGGTGCTTCTTATTGAGCCTATCCAGGTAGATTTGTTCCTTGACTGTGTTTTTTTTTATCAAAATCTAGAAGTTGTGAATGCAGCAAATTGGAAAAGCGTACAATGAGATGAAACAAGGAGAGCCGGCAGTGGAGCGATTGTTTGACTTGACTTCGTCGTTTCCAAAGGCAAGTTCCTGTCAATCTAAGCAGCGTCACTTACGGTATTTTGGTGCAGATTCTTGACGAAGAGGCATCTCGTAGGCACTTGAAGAATGTGATCGGCGATGTCGTGTTTGACAACGTATGTTTTAGTTATGGGGCTACATCACCACGGGTTCTGCAAAACATTAATTTTCACGTGTGTGCTGGTGAAACTGTTGCTCTCGTTGGACCATCTGGCGGTGGAAAGACCACACTGGCAAAGTTGCTACTGCGTTTGTACGAGCCTACGCAAGGTATGAGTGGTGCGTATGAAGGATTTCGCAGTAAACTTTTGATGTAACAGGAAATATTCTAATTGATGGGGAAAATATACAAGGTGTTTCTTTGGAAAGCTTGCGGCAACAAGTCGCGATTGTTCCACAAGAAACTGTAAGATCTTGTTGAACCACTGTGTAACAGATTAATGATCTTTTTATGGGGGCAGGCACTCTTTACGGGAACTGTGATGGAAAACATAGCTTATGGGGTGATGTCGAACGACATCGACATGAAAAGAGTGGAACGGGCTGCGACGATGGCCAACGCCGACGAGTTTATCAGGAGATTACCAGATGGTTACGAAACTAATCTCGGCGAGCGGGGCTCAAGCTTAAGTGGAGGTCAGCGCCAAAGGTATGCCATGCTTGTTTCCTTCTTTTACATTTTCTAAGCAGCGGATATGCAGAATAGCTATAGCGCGAGCAATATATCATGGGCCGTCGATCCTCATCCTTGACGAGGCAACATCAGCGCTGGACAACCGGTCCGAAAAGCTTGTGAGGGAAGCGTTGGAACAGCTGATGATTGGCCGGACCGTAAGTTTTTCATCGTGATATCTCATTCGAGTGCTCAGCAAAAGTTTGACGCAGGTGTTCATCATAGCTCACAGGCTGGAGACGGTCCAAAAGGCCGCGAGAATTTTCCTCCTTGACGGTGGCAAGTTGGTGGAGGAAGGAACGCACTCGTCACTCATAGCCCGAGGCGGGCAGTACGCGTCCCTGTTTAGCGCCGGCAGGGACGACATAAGGCCACAACTAACAGCCAAATGAGCACGACAAGCAGGAGAAAAGGCGATACAAGTTTTGTCCGATCGGTTACAGGTACGATGGTTTGCTTCAATTCAAGCTTAGATTGACTCTTAACTGGATTATCGCCTTGCAGAGAAGGCTAGAAAGAGTACACTTTTAAAGCTTGTACGATGATTAGCGATGGTGTCACTGTCTCTCGAGACACTTCACGCTGCAAACCCACCGCGGCGGTGCGCTGTTACAAGAGTCTCATTGGTAGGTTGCCAGATCCATTGACAAAGAACAATCTGGCCAAGAACAATCAAGGCAGCGAAAGAAATATGACTAGTCGGTGATCTCTCTGGAATGCGTAGCGGCATCGCGTATGACCTGTTTGATATTTGGAAAATAAAGGGTCTTTGTCCATAGTGTGGGCTATAGCCTTGGGAAGAACACAGACAAACAAGGGAGAAAGAGTGGTGCTCGTTGATCGCGAAGATACCGAGGTTTGGACGGCGCGGATATAAAAAGCCCCATCGCGCCGTTGGCTTGAGCTCCATTTGCGAGAGAAGAGGGAGGAAGAGAGGCGAAGAAAGGCGCGCGCGCTCCAAGTTTCTTGGGAGGAAGACTCGATCAATGCGGCTGGGTTTCTGGGCTTAGATCCCATCCAAGGACGCTAGAATGGATTCGATCGATCCGGCAGTGGTGGCGCAGTTCTTCCTGGGGTCCGACAGCGCGCCGGGGAAGAAGCACTACCACTGGCAGTGCAATTGCGCGCTCCACGCGCAGACTGGGCAGTGCGGGCACTCTCCTCCCGCGGGATCAAGCAAGGTAGTGCTGGCCAAGAGCGCCAAGAGCAAGAGCGTGATCGCCAAGAGCGCCAGCGCCACGGATCTCGCGCCGGCGGCGTCGCTGCGCGAGAGCAGCCGGCGGCAGGGATCCATGGGGAACCTGCTGGAGCTGCTGGATCCGCGCAGGAGCCACGAGGAGGTCCGGCGCGTCGCAGCAAAGCGAGAGCCACTGTGAAAAAAACAGACGATCGAAGACGATCAAACTACCTCGTTAGTCGAAGATCGGGAGAGAAGTCAGTCTATAAATTAGCTTGTAGAGAAACATTTAGTATAGAAGTTTACATAGATGTTCTTCGCGAGCTCTTGGAAGAAAAATAAAAAAAAACTTTCACCACTCCATGTTTGCAATAAAAATCTTCCAACAGACTGGACGATCCTGACACACCGCCCAAGAATTTAATGGCTTTCCTCCAAGATCACGAGAAAGGGGCGTCGTCCCGTTCGTTACTCGTCCTTCTTCGTGTGGGAAAAACAGCGTTGATTCTCGGCGACTTTGCCAAAGCAATGCCCTCGTTGATCTCTTTTTTTGATGGTTTTGTCTTGTCGATGCTCCTGGGCTTCACGGGACAAAGGCTCCAAAGCACGAAGACTCGCACGTTTTCTCTCCTCTTCGATGAACAGCTGTGATGCACTTGTTGACGGAGAGCATATTTTCGCTGGCACCACAAGGAGAGGCTGGTACTAGAAGCACCATCATGTCCACGAATATAATAGACACCTGGAACCAAAACCTCACTACCTCGAGAAACGGGAAGCCAGAGACGAAACTGTGTAGCCTACCTGAGAGAGATTGGACGACTATTTCATGTGCTCCAAGACGCTCCTCGCAATCTCGTCCAGGAAAGATACGAAGCCTGTTCCGGTGGGAGCCCCATTGACGTCTTGCTCCTCTATAAGATGCCTTTCAAACGGTTCCACATTGTCGAAGCCAGCCCGGATCATGTAGAGCTTAGGTGTCACGCTTCGCTCTTGCTTGAGCTTGTTTATTAATTCCCGGAGAGCGCCTAGAATCATCGAGATCTTTAAAAGTTAAATCTTGGATGGCACAAAAGCTTACTTTTGTGAGGTGGAGGGAATGAGAGCGCTGGGTCTGCGGTGGACGCATAGTAGACAATAAGCAACGTGTAAGCGTCCAGGAAAAAGATCGGGCTTCCACTGGTTATCAGTGCAGCACGGCTGAGCGAGTGTCTCGGGTAAGCTTGCTTGTCAGGAGAAGTGTAGGACGATAGAAGCGGATAAACAACTCGTACCAAGGAGCTTGGCTCGAGAGCACTGCAATGAAAAATAAAAAAGGAAAAAGGGTGAGACAATGCTGTCAACTATCTTGCATTGTACCTGAAAAGGAATTGCAGATACACTCGATAATCGGGATGGACGCCCTCCTCATGAGGCCGCAAAACTGGATTTCGGAGGAAAGCAAACGCCAGCCTAGGAAGTACTTGTAACGATGGACATTTGGAAAACGAAACGTCTAGCCGAACTGCTGTTGTGGGCTGCCCGAACTGTGCTAGCTTAAGGAGCTCGTTGTATTGCGCAACAAGTATAATCAGCCAGTCTTGTAGTAGGAGTCGTCCTTCCTTGACACCATCCTCCAAAGAAGCGCGAATCGTCTGCGAGACACAACACATTGGAGATCCTCACGCCCGTCAACCAAAACACACCTTATGAGTTAAAATACAGAAGATAGCTTCTGCGTCAGCTCTCTCGTAGAGTTCCTTGTGGTTCCGAGCGATCTCCATTCGTAAAGTGCGTAGCCTCAGCCATCTCTTCGTCGTATATTTTTGCCTGACACAGGCCGACTCAGTTCGTGAGAAAAGGACTAACAGTGTATACCTCTTCGGTGTACTCTCGTGCTCCTCGCTCACGGGCTCCAACGTCGTATACTGAAAAGCAACCTGAATAATGGGAGTGTCCGTAAATCTGAAAGCATCAGGATTTTGGTCATGCAAATTAAAAGCTTTTGTAACAAACCTTTGAAACCCACTAGAATTTCCAAAATCAAAATCATAAGCGTAAGTTGCATGAGGATCGCAACAGATAATATGCTGGACATTTTCATATTGAGGATCAGAAAAGAAGTGGCCATACTGTACGAGCACAAAGTAAGTAGTCAGCGAATCCAGCGCACTGTACTTACTGAGTGAACGGTTTTAAATTCTGGAGAAGTTCTAATGCGTAGTACTCCACTATAGGCACAAGGCCGGCTTAGCATTCGATATCTGAAAAACGAACCCGTCAAATAAGAATGCATCGACAAAAATCGAATACATACAAATCTTGGGGCAAAGTTGATTCTTCGGTGTTGGAGTAGAGAAAAAGCGAGCCACCACTCTCCACACTCAGAAACTTCAAAGAGGCCAGATCTGTGTACTCATTGGTGATGGCGAAAATGTCCACGCAAATGCCCACTTGTACAGCCGTCGCTGCCTGTAATGTCACTGATAAGCGTCTGCACACGAGGCTCGGCTATCAGCTTACCAGCTCTCGATAAAAGGGAGTCTGTTCTGCCAAGAGGATCTTGTCGGCATCTTCTCCCTTGCTTGCATACTGCTCTCCGTAGCGTTTTGTGTCTAGCTGACCAGCTCCATAATCAGGTGCTCCAGATATGAAAGAAAATATCCTCGCTGGGGATGCAACACCATTAGTATGTTTGTTTTTGAACACTTGAAGCTCACCAAAAGCATAAGTAGACCCGTGCTCTGTGCCTAGATAACTCAAAAGAGCGTCCATAGCAACGCCAAATCCACGGCCTCCAATGGGAACTCCCTCGGCGGATTGCCCAGCAGCTGTTGCTCTTTCCCACGAGCTAGTCGGCCGGAGAGTCTCTAAAGCAGCAGCAATGTTTTCTTTGTTCGTTTCCACCTGCGAGAAAACTCTTGGACGTCAAAACTAGAAAAACAATGGTAAGAGGGGAAAGAAACAGTACCGGAGCAAGAAAAGCTTTCAAAGGCATGACATCTTCCAAATCAACAACTATTTTCCCATCCATGTCTGCGGGAATTACGACGTGCTTGACGACAGGGACAGCGCCCTGCACATCATAGAGGCCAATCTTATGACTGTACGTTACCAAACCAAACAAGGATCCAGCACGTATAGCTGTGGAATAGAACCGATCATCAACCCAAGAACTGCTACTAACTAGTAGCGAGGATCGTTACCTTCAAGAGCAGCTAGCAAAGAGTTTTTGACAAGATCGAGGAACTCCTCCGACGCTGTGAGATCAGCTCTTTAGATGGCTCTAGAATGAAAAAGAAATAAAAAAATGTGCACCTGATAGATCCACTGCTGCCACATAAACTGGCCTCAAGTTAAGATCCTGGCTGCCCTCCTCTGCAAAGAAAACTCCACTACTCAAATCACTCGCAATTCTCCCAGGAATCCACCGATCCATACCTTCCAGCTCCAAATCCACAAAGGACGACCTCAGCTCCTTGGCATCCCGGCCAAACCGATCCGCCGCGTCGCGCGACAGGAAATTCCGCTCGCCGCACAGCACGCACGACCACGCCGATTGATCCACCTCGCACAGGAAATTCATGTACCCCCAGCAGCTGTCGCAGCGGGGCAGCGGCGCCGCGCATTTCACCCGCAACGAAGGCCGCCCCGTCTCGTCCTCGGCGGCGAATGGAGTGAGCGTCGCGCCCCACGGCAAGCCGGATGCCTCCTGCATTTCGGGATTCCCCGGGCAGCGCCCCAGCGCGAGCCTCACAGCCATCGCGACGCGCGATCGCGATCGCGATCGATCCAACGCAAAAACCCTAGAACCCTAGAATATTTTTACCTTACGAAAAAAACTCTCGTTATTATTTACATAGTAAGAACCACCAAAACACTGGGTTTAAAATCTTCTCTCTTTTGCTTATTAGAGTGTGGCGCTCTCATGTCGACATAACTAAGTGGATTTGCTGGCCCTCGAGCGAAGGGACAGTGCTCTCCTCAATGTTCTAGCAAAGATAAGTTAAAAAAAAAAACCAAAGGCGCGCGTTAGAACACTCTTGATCAAAGGAGAGATTTTCTTCTTACTTTGGACGGAGCTCTCGCTTCGTCTGTGAGAGACTGAGGAGCAATCTTGCTAGAACCAGTCGTCGTATTATGTACAGCACCTCTGGTGGTGGTGGTGGTGGTGGTGGTGGCGACAGCGTTCTCGCTGCTTTCGTGGCCGGGAGTTTCTCGAGCGATCAAAGCAGCGCTGAAAGTTGTCGTCTCGATCGTAGCAGCGTGATCCTGGTGCTGGGCCGTGCTTGCTGATTGACGAGAAGGATCGGCAGGGTGAGCGAGAGAGGCGGTCGCTCCCGCTTCGTTCTCTTCTTTCTCGACCGAGATGCGTTCGAGAGCTCGGACCATACCGGCGCTCACTTCCCTGGCACGAGCACCAAAATCAGCCATTGTGCTACCATTTCGCATCCTCAATTTGTCCCTAAAGCTTTTTGTTGTTTTAGTGAAAGATTCTTTATACCTGCAACACCATAACATAGCTAAGCTTGTAAGAGAACGAGAAAAAAAAAACTTTCAAACGCTCACCTAGAGGACGCAGCAGCCCATCTTGACTTCCAAGACTCCGAGAAGGAGTGAGTTTCAGGAGATCTTCGGTTGCTATCCGCAGTGGAAGCAGCGGTGAAAGAAACGCGTGGGGATCCTCGAGACCTGCCAGAAGTAAAATCAAGTAAAAGGAAATGCAAGGACTTTTAGCATGCGAAAAGGAGCAGAAGCATTTATCACCTCAAGCTGCTTGAATCAACCGATGACGAGCCACTGTCAGGGGTCACAGGCGAGCCATGAAGGTCTGAAGTAGTAACACTCGGAGTCGATGGAGATAAAGAAAGGCTCCCGGCTGGCACCGATACAGCACCGCTGCTGGGAGCATTCCCATGAGCTGGGACGATCACAAACTGTTGCGGCATATTACCATAAGGAGGCCTAACGCTGGCGGCATTTGCATTCCCATCCCTCCTTCCTAATTGTCTTCTACCCATCGTCACAAACGTAAGATGGCGCATCATACGTTCTTCGAAGTCAGAATCATCACCATAAGCTGCTAGCTGCGATTGTGTAAGAGAAGAAAAAAAGTTAAAAGCATGAAAAGCTTTGAGGCTTTGATTTAGCTTACCCGATGAAGTTCGTAGCCCTCGGGTGGAAAAACACCTATCCTGCTCTGGCGAATTGCCCTTTCATGCTCCACAGCAGCGAGTAATTCTTGGCTGGAAACGAAGTTCGTTAGAAGAGAAAGCTCCAAAGTGACAGCAAAAGAGTAGAAACTATACCTGTTTGGGTCTTTTAAGCTGAGAGCTTGCCAACACATTGGGCATTCTTTACTTCTTTGAGACCTGCGAGAAACCTCTAAGATAGATAAACGAAGGAAAAGGAGAAAACTTACCACTCTATAATGCACTGGAGGTGATACTCATGCTTGCAACACGTAATCTGCAAAGCGGAGCTAAGAATTCGCATAATTTTGACGACACAATCAATCCATGGCTCGCGACATAGATCGGACCCTAGACAATCCAAGCAAAATAATTCGAGGGGGGCGTACCACAGCCGGATCGGCATCGCCGAAGCTCTCCAAGCAGATACTGCAAGCGTCCTCGCAAGCGTCCTGGACGCCGCCTTCCACAAACGCTGCCGCCGACGAAGCCATCGCCCCGCGCCACAAACCCTAGCGCCACACACCCTTCTCTCTCCCTGTCCACGGGGAGGAGAGAAGTCTCCCTTCCTCACTTGATAGGATGATCAAAGAAAGAAACTCAAGACCCGGAATAGTTTGCCGCCCTTCCTTTACGAGGTTTGGACGGCGGATGCGCCACACGACCGTCGGAATCTGGATCCGACGGCTAGGAGCAGCCCTGCACGGCAAACAGTTCCAGAACTTTAAGCATCCAACGCCTGTGATTTCGCGAGCTTTCCGTTACGTGATGCATGGAAATAGCCCATGGGCATGCCCATGACACGTGGACGGCCAAGCCCTTTGTGACGTGGATAAAACACGAGTCATTAGATGAGAGCATCCAACGGTGCCTCGCGTCCCTTTCAAGCATTGGGACCGCGGGCATAAAAATACGAATTTTTCGTAGCTCTTCGCGACAATGTTGTCAACACTCCCTATTCGATACTTGCCTGGTTTTGCACGCTGCCGCATAGAAAAAAAACTCGGCCTGGAGGAGAGATGGGAGATAGTGCTTCATTTAATTCGGGAAGACTGCGAAAGCCATAAACAAGTCAATCGATGAAACGTTACAGGCGATTTCTACACAACTCTTTTAAAGGAGTTCCTCCAAAGAGAAAATGCAAGCAAAGCTACGGAAAAGTTTAAAGGAAAAGAATCGAATCACCTTCACTTATGTGTCCTCAACTTGGGAGTAGAATATAAAGCTCGGGAAAGTAGTGGTGATGTCCCTGGAGTATACAAAACAAACCAAAAGTTTGGGAATCACAGCTAGCCGGAAACTTAAAGCTTACTTCAGATACGGGAGGTTCATGTTTTTCAAGAGCGACGGATGGTGCTGAACGAGGCTCCTCCACTCGTCCTTGTCGATTTTGCCGTCGTGCTTCGTGTCGGCCTCCTCGAAGGTCTGTCAATGAAAAAATTTCGAAAGTATGCGAGATTTGAGGCATGTATACGCGCGTGAGAGAATACCTTATCGATAATGTTCTCCACGACTTCGTCGGATAAATTTACACCAGACTCGGCAAGCGTTGCCACGACCATTCGCTTCACCTCTGATCGCTGGATAAAGCCTTCGTGTCGGAAATCATATAGCTGAAATGCAACTTCACAGCAAAGGAAAACGATAAAAACGGCTGACGAACATAAACTCTAAGTTACTCACAGTCTATTTTTTGATCCACAGGCGCATTCGGATGGAATATCGACAGCGCTCTCGCAAATTCCCCAAAGTCAAGAGCACCATTCCTCTTCACATCAAATAAATCGAACACCTGTAAATGAGCAGTAGACTGTCAAGAAGAAACAAACAAAAAGAAAAACAAAAAAACGGGGAAACACTAGAGTGTCACTTACTCTGTCGGCGAACATACTTTCTTTCCTACTGTTCTTAAACAGCGCCAACTTAAATTCCTCCTGCAAAGATTAGTTTTTTAGTTTACATGATTGAAGAAAAATGCGGAAAGAGCGAATAGAAAACTAAGAAACTCGCCTTGTTGATAAGTCCATCGTCCAGAACCGCGCTGCTTATCTTCTTGAAGAGCTCGTATAAAGCCTCGACCTCGCTGACACCGACTGCGAGAAGAAAAAAGAAAGACCATCAGCGAATTCCAACAATGAATCACACACAGGAAAAATGAAGAAAAAGAAGAACAGAAGCGAGAAACTACATGTAGAGTCTTCGGCGATCGATTTAAAGTCTTCAACGTCATACTGAAGCTTTTCTTCCTTGGACACAAAGCAGCCCATGAAGCAAGCCGAGAGATGATAGAGGTAAGCTAATGCATGGTCAAAGCACCACGACATCATTCTATCCCAATGCGCGCTCGTGGCGGACCTGCATTGGCGCCCAATCCCACGATTCCAGCGTCGATCGAGGGACAGAAGCGCGAGCGAGCGATCGAAATCTCAATACGAAAAAATCCAGCAGAGGTATCGAAAAGAATCGATCTGGGAGTACTCACAATCACCGCAGCTGGGGCGGCAGCATCGCACTGCAGCTCCACTGATGGCGCCCAAAACCCTACCCTAGTGTTTTTTTTGAAAAAAAAGGGAGAAAAGAAAAAAGGAGAGAAGAGAACCCTAATTTCCCCGTTTTCTAGGGCTTGTGGGATGCCGCGCTTGAGTAGATCCTCGTCGCCATCGCCGCCTCCATCGGGCCGGAAGCGCCGATCGCCGCCCGCTCGGCGCAACAGCAGGCGCTCTCCACACAGGTATCGATTTTCTTCGGGGATTTTCTTTCGGGTCGAGCGATTTGAGAAGCTGCCCTCTTTGAATGAATCGTTTGGGGCTGGTCTTTGTGACTGATTCTTCCCAAAGAACTCGTCTTTTACACGAAAACCCGGTGGACGTTTGCGAGTAAACTTCCACTACTGCGAAGAATGGAAAATACTGGATTTCTAACACTCTTTTGTCTTGTAGAACACCATCTCCCAGAAGATCCAAGCGACGCGCTATAAGCCGAAGCCGCTCTCGCTCACCGAGCTATAGATCTCGTAGCCCCGGCCTTAACAAATCCAGACGAGACAGAGACAGAGACAGAGAAGAAGACCTCGAAAAGAAAAGGTTGGTGTGTTTGCCTCTGGCTCTCAGTACTATGAAGAATTCTTCGTCGCCTGTTAGTAGCTACTGAATCCCAAGTCACTGCTGTGGAGGGCAGTGAGCGGTAAGCGTCGAGAAAGAGAAAAGCAGCCATTGAGATCTTTGAGGACCCCCCCGGTCTGTTAATCATGGTTTTGTACAGTGGAGCTCAACTCTTCTAGACACGGTGATCCGGCAGCGCAGAACACTTCGGTGCTCTTCACACCGGGTTGGTTGGTTTCTACAAGAGGTGCTGTGGTGATCTTGTGCGTTTTTCCAGCATCGGTTTCTCTTCGAATGGCTGGAAAACGCGTCTCTGCATACTAGTTAAATCGCATTTGGAGTTGCCTGGCTTTGCGTGAAACATCCTAATGGTTCTATATTACTAGGAGACAGCAAGAGGCCGAGCTCAAGCTCATTGAGGAGGAAACCACTCGGAGAGTGGACGAGGCCATCCGGAAACGGGTCCAGGAGGTGCTGGACTCGGACGAAATCCAAAAGGAAATACAGATGAGGATCGACGAAGGCCGCAAGAAGATGATCCAGGACGTGAACGCGCAGCTGGCAAGGGAGCGAGAGGCCGCCTTGAGAGCTACGCGAACGAAAGAGGTGATTGTCTCATCTCGTTTTTCTTCCTTCCTCTAAAGTTTTCTTCTTTTCCAGGAGCAAGAGCGCAAAGACAAGGAAGATTTGGATCGGATGCTGGAGGACAACAAAAGGAAAGTGGAGGAAGCACAGAAGCGAGAGGCGGAAGAGCGAGCTCGAAAAGAGGAGGAGCGGTACCGAGAGCTGGAGGCGATCCAGCGGCGAAAGGACGAGATAATGCGGAGGAGAAAGCTGGAAGAGGAGCTGGAGCGAGAGGAGCAAATGAAGATCTTGGGCAAGAAGAACGCTCGCCCAAAGCTCTCGTTTGCTCTGGGCCTCAAGGGATGAACAAAGACAAAATTAAGTAACAGAGCTTGGGGAACAATCCGACGGCAGGAAATGGGTTTTTGAAAATGACTTGAATTTGACTATATTAGACTTTATTTGACCTTTATTTGACTTTGTTTGACTTTTGTTTGACGTCATCATTCTATTGGATTCATTGACTTTTGTTTGACTTGCATTGAAAGAGACTTATTTTGACTATCATTGACGTTTTGCTAGTCATCTAGTCAGAATCCATTGGGTCCTCCTCTGCCTCTTGATCTTCAGATTCCTCCCCAACAAACACGGGCGCGCTTTGCGATGAAACTCAGCGCCCGTGAATGCAAATAAGGCGTCAAACACTGCCTTTCCATCTCGTCCTCGAAAGAAGCACCCGCTATCCACTGTGGCGCAATGGCTCTTCCTGCTATAGCAGTATCCCTCGCCAGCGCGTGCTTCTGCTCTTCCACGCGAGTTATGTAGCGGTGGAGCATGGCAGCGTATAACTCTATTGTGCCTCTAAAGGCTTGCTTGTCCAGAACGAATTGAGCAACCAGCCTTGGCACCCAGCCTGTTTTTTGATACATAGATCTTGCACGCTTATGGTTTCTCCAGTTACCCGAAAGATGAACTTGCATACTTCCTTCTCCTGGAAGTTGAAGTGATCAGAGAGTGAATGAAAACGAGTTTACTCACATAAAATCCTCCAGCCGCGGAGTAATACCTCGCCAATTCTTTCAGTACCAGCTTCCTCAATTTGTTTCCGGCAGATGCACAGATGATGAGCTTCACGTTCCTTTTCTGGAGTAACAGAAGAAACTTGAAAGCAGATCTCTTGCCATTTCTCGTCTCCGTACCTTCATCATCAAGCACAGCTCCATCATAAAGAATGATGTGCACAGTCTCGCTCCTCAAATATAAAAATCGGTATTTGCTTTCAGAATTCAAGTCTTGAAGCATCGCAGGAGCTTCAGGGTCCTTGATGTAAGCCAAAACATGCAAACAGCGTTTCACGAGAATTCCAAGCAAAGCTTTCACCCGAGAGCAGTAAGAAGCGATGGTTTGAATTTTGAAACATTATATGAATCAGGATCCTGCAAACGCAGCACAGCCATCAATCAGCCCATGCAGCACGAACTCAAGTTATTACCATTCTCTCTCACTCTTTCCAGCTGCATCACCACCGCCTTAGCTTTCAATCCATCCTCCGTGACACTGGACTGAGAAATACCTACCCCAGAACACGAATGCAACATGTACTGTGCTAAATACCTCTCCGCTGCACTTTTTCACACTCCGAAGATAAAGGTAACCGTGGTGATAAGGCTAACAGTTTTCCCGTAGCCCGGAGGCCATCTTTTCTGTTGGTGTAGTACAATGGTGCTTCCAAATCTTCGACAGCTTGCCAGTATGTATACGACCCATGTAGTGAAACGATGCTACTCCTGAGTAGAAATCTGCATCTGCAAGTTCATGCCACAGTTCTAAATCCATCACATGTCTCCAAGGAGAAACTTGACATCCAGGGAAAAGGTTTCATCTTCATTAGGTCTTGGTAATCTTGCAATTTAAGGAATATCTTTTCTTTTTTATCCCATTTGTTAGCTTGGATCCAGATTTCTCTGGGCTGACTTTAACCATGCTTGCCTTGCATGCTTGTCCATCAGGACGAAGTGTACCTATACACAGCACAGAAAATAGAGAGTTAAAGGTCATACAAACATTCATATATTTGTTATGTACCTCTTCAAACCCAGCAGCATTTTCATATACTGTTCTCAAAGCAATCTCAGCACCTTCATACACAGGGTATCTGCCAAAAAAAAAAGGAGCATAGCTTTAGCAAAGAAAGATTATAAAGCGAAGAAAAGAGAGAAACTAATGTTCAGCTTTTACCCGTAAACTCCACACGAGATGGCTGGAAATGCAATGCATTTGACGCCTTTCTCTCTCGCAAGCTCGAGTGAGTTGCTGTTAAGAGCAACTGGTCAGGCAGAAAAGCAAAAGATTCTACTTAAGAGCTGTTACATACCAGTATGCGTCTCGCAGCAAAGCTGCTGCTTTCATCCTGGTAGATCTGTGATACGTCGGCCCAACCGTGTGGATGATCCGCCGGACAGGCAATCGAAAGGCACTGCGAGCGATCGAAAGAACTTTTGTCCAAGAAGAGATCGAAACTTACGGCGTTTCTCTAGCTTGTCCCACAGGGCAGCGTGTTCTTGGTGCCACCAGAGGCAATGTTTTGCAGGCTTTATAAAGATCTGGTCCCGCCGCTTCATGGATCGCTGCAATGCAAAAGAAAGGATAAGAGAAATTCTGGAAGAACAAAACTTCGCAAGGATCCACACATAATTCTCAAGCTTTTCAAGCTATAGGTGAAAGAATCCATTCATGGACAAAGAGAATGGATGTATGGACAAAGAGAATCTATGACCAAGAAAAGCAATCCAAAAGACCATGATAGAAGAGAAAGAGATCAAGAATCCAGTCCCAGAAAGAAAAGAACGAAGCTTACCTCCATCCACGCCGCCTCCACCAAGCATGAGCTCGTTAGCGGCATTGACGATTGCATCGCTATGGCCATCCTTGAACCAGCGCGTGATATCTCCGCCCTGGATCACCAGCTTGCATGAATCCGTGAGCTCAAACTCCGCCACCTCTCTGGGAGGAGGGATTGTTTTCATCCACGCCGTGGAAAAGTTCATCACCGCCTCCTTCAACTTAGCATCTCTCGTCTCCTCTTTCAGTCGATTTCTTCGTGAATGAGGGAGTACAAATTGATCGACACCGCCACGATACGAGGGGATCATTACCCCTGTCCTCTCGAAAGTTTTGCTGCTACACGTCGTGAAGAATGGTTCTTCACGGGCGGCATTTGCAAGCAGCGGAAGATCTCGGCGATGGCGGTCAGGATTTTCAAGTGGGCGATTCTCGTTATTGGCATTTGCTGTTTCTATCTTTTTTGCGCTTTCTTGTGCTTGGCGAAGCTCCTCCCGATCAAAAAGTGAAGACATGATGTTATAACGAAGCACGATTGAGAGGAGCCACTCCTTAAGCGTCTCACGCGGTTTCTCCACCTCAAGCTTATTCTCAAAACCCCAAAAGTCAGCAATAAGCTCCCAATCCCCCAGCTCGGCATCCTTGGTTTTGGACCGCACATCAAAGTCTTTCTTTGTTTCCTCCCTCATATCCATGAATTCTTCACCAAAGATGCAATCATCCCATCCATTACCTGACTCCATCTTTTCTTCTCCTTGTTCTTTATTAGGGCAGAATTATAATATACTTTATTATTATGATTATGTTTATTATGATTATTATTAGTTTAAGTTCCAACAAAGCTTAGTGCTCTCGAATCCTTCGAGATGAAGTGGAAACACACTTACTACTAGACGAGACGTAGCGCATGAGGAGCTTGAGAGGTTTGCCGCTATCAATCGCTTCTCTCGCTCTCTCGATCGCGGCAAATGGGTCGCTGGCTCCGCTGCATCCCAGAAGGTTGTCTACCATGGCAGCGTTGAAGACAATGCGATCGTAAGCCGCCCCTTTGACACCCCTCAGAGCTGTCAAGCCGTGCTCAATGTTGTTCTCTAGCTGCCTCTGGAACACAGCAAGTTATTGAAGTTAGTTATCACAAGAGAAACAATGCTTACCGGCCTTTCCAGTCTGGGTGTCAGTGTTGATTCAAAGTGAAAGTCTGTAGCGTTTAGAGTTTTGCTGAAAGTTTCACGAAGTATACCTGGAGAGAACTCACAATGCCACATCACTATAGATAAAATATTACCATCAATGTTTTGTGCAGCAACGTTGGAGGTAGAGCTTGGTGGACGAAATCCAGCACAGAAGTTCAATGGATGACCTCTGATGGTGGCATCAGGAGATGGTGATTTTGTCGTCAAAGACAATGCCCCTTCTTCACCCTGCCAAACGGGTGTAGCTGGGCTGAGCCACGATCAAGAAAACGTTTTGCTTACTTTTACTATAAGACCAGCATCAACTCCTCTCCTACGCATAAGCATCAACAAAGGTTCTTCGTATCCCTGGTGATAAAAACCTGTGACAATTGCTTCCCGGCCAGATGCCTGCCATGCTTTTGCTGAAAAGGATAAAAAATATGGTAACCAAAGCAATACCTTCACGTACCGCTGGACCTTCTCAGTGGTGGCCACGGTTGGTCTCTTTTTTATGTGCTCCCTAATGTCCAGAAGAGAATACCTGCCATCAGTGAGAACTATCAGACTAACTAAGACAATTTCATGTCCAACCTTACAAGGACTTTCGTGCTTCTCGTTGACTAACGTAAGCAAAACCAACATCCTGCACAAACCATGCCTAAGTAGTGCGTCGATCAGAATGCTATGAGGACGAACCTCAAGAAGACTTGCGGCTTCTGCGGGGGACAGCGTTGTAGCAGCGCCTAACTTGTTGAGCATCTGCTCTTCCGTCACTCCCCACTGTAACTAAGTTCGTCAGAATGTCAGTAGAAGCAGAGCACTCCTACCTTAGGAGGCATGCGATCGACACCATGGAGCAGACAACACTCACCATAGCTCGCTCGCACGGCGGCCACGAACAGGGTGCTCCGGAAGAACCTGGTATTCCCATCATACGGCTCGCCATAGTGAGTCAAAGAGCTCACGTTCGCAACAGGAAGCTCGCCTGGAAGAATGAAACATCAAAGAAGAAAAACCAAGAAGAGGAACTTTACCAAGCTCGTCGTCGAATGCCATGCAAAACGCTTTGAGCTCCCGGTCTGTCTCCCCATTCATTCGCAGAGCAATCAAGAACGCTGCCACCAACACATCACTGACTTTCGATCCATCCCCATCTTCCCCAAGTGGTAGCAAGTCTCTCAAGATGCCGACGATCTCTTCAAAGCCAAGATGGTCGCCGCGTAGCATCTCCCGGAGAGCACCAACAAGGCGCATCTCCACGGGGCCTCGGCCGACAAAGCTCAAGCCAGAGTGTAGCACATCCTCCATCAGAGTACCGTCGGGATCGGCCACGAAGAGCACGTCGGGGGGCAAGATCTGGACGAGCTGCGGCCAAAACTGCCGCATGGCCTTGCGCTCTCCCTCGCTCCACTGCGTGTCGCGAGGAAACGAGGCCGATCGGATCGCCATCGCGGCG